ATAAAAAATTACATCTACCAGCTGGGTATGGGGTTCATACCTCTAATCCCACCAGTTGGGTGGTTGCGACATGAAGATTGCCACTAATTTGAGGCCAGCAAGGGCTATAAAGCAAGACCTGTCTCAAACAAAACAAAACAAAATCTACCAAATAATGTCCAGTGCAAGGTAAAGGGAAGGATAATAATTTCACTGTCCAGTTATAAGTGTCTGGGCCACCAGGCCATATCCTTGTGAGTGAAACAAAATTTAAAGCCTGGTCCTTCTGTTTCTAACAAACTCCTCTAAATAAACCCAAGAACTAGATGAGTATGGTGGTGCACACCTGTAATCCCAGCACTTGGGAGGCCGAGACAGGAAGATTGCCATGAATGTGAGGTCAGCATGGGCTACACAGTGAATTCAAGGTCAGCCTGAAATACACAGTGAAACCCTGTCTCAAAGACAAGCCAAAACCAAACCCAAGAAGAAAATGCATTAGTCTGACATACAAAAATAGTGATACAGCAACATGTTTGGGTATAGGCATTCTAATTAAATCTAGTGTTACAAAAAATAATTAAATCTAGTGTATGGGAAGGAGAAATGTCTGCAGCCTAGCACGTCACAGAACCCTAGTCACGGGCTGATCATGACTAGCAGGGAAACTGAAAAAAATATGCTTCCCAGCCTGTGACCAAATCTACAGGACTGACCTGGCTGTACTTTAAAGGTGTAACCTTGAAATGTTTTCTAAAACTGCTGAGTGTAGAAACTCTATTATGCACCTTTCCATATCCCTCTTTCAAATAAACTAGGATAAACACTGATTTTCCAAATAAGGCAGCTGTGTGAAGTAACTCTCTTTGTGAAAATAACTTTTAAGATATCAGGTGTTCTGTTTTGTTTTTTTGCTGCCATAACAGCCTGAGAAATAGAGTATGAAGTTTTTCTTCTAACAATTAATTGTTATAAAACATAAAACTTCTTAGTCTATGCACAATGCTGTCTTTAAGTAGGGCTCTTAAGTAGTTTATACATTCAATCTTTATTTCATAGAGTACCACATCTTAAAAGATCACAAGGTTTAGCCGGACATAGTGGTGCACACCTGGTAATCTAATCCTTGCACTCAGGAGGCTGAGGCAAAAGGACTGTCCAAGTTCAAGACCAGCCCTTATGGGCTACATAGTGAGTTCAAGGCCAGCCTGAACTGCACAGCTATCGAGACCCTGTTGCAAAAAAAAAAAAAGAAAAGAAAAAGAAAAAAAACCCACAAGGTTTTAAATTTTTAAATGGTTTTGAAATTTGTTTTCAAAAAATTACTTGGTACTATATCAAGTAACTGCTGCCTTGTTGATCCTAAAGTTAACAGCTAAGAAAACAGAGAATGAGCTGCAGCCAAGATGTAGCTACACTTAATGTTACCCTTTTTATTAGTTAGCTGGACTTACTGTTCATTAAGGTTCACCAAAAAAAAAAAAAAAAAAAATCAGCTTTCTACTTAACCATCTGTTCAGTTTTGTTTGAAAGAAAAAAGTATCAAGACAAATCACAGCACTCCCTGTAAATCCTAGATGCTGGGACCTGAAGTGAAGAGGCCCCTCTAACAAAGCTGAAGGAAGCAAAGGGCCGCAGCTGCGCAAGAGGGGAGATGAGGTGCTCGCAAGCTCGCTGGTCAGAGACACGAGGCCAGAGGCCAGCCGCACGGCCGGCTGTGGTGAGGGTGTGGGGACATGGAGCAAGGCATGCTGAGGCCAAACCAGAAAGGATTTGTCTGGTTGCAGTGGGAACCAGCAGAGGGTTTTCAAGCTGATTAGTGAACCAACCTACTTTCATTTCTGCATTGGGGCTGGGGATTTAGCTCAGTGGCATAAGCACCTGCCTTGCAAGCAGGCGGTCATGAGTTCGATCCCTGGTACCGATAAAAAGGTAAAAAAAAAAAAAAAGATTGGAGTCATTTCTGGGTTAAGTAATATTTGTATTGAATTTGTGTTTTCAAAAACTAACCTGGGTGTGGTAGTGCAGGCCTGAAATGCCCACACTCTGGGAGACTGAGGCAGAAGGATCACAAGTTCAAGCCCAGCCTGGGAAACTTTGTGAGACTAAGTCTTAAAATGAAAAACAAAACAAAACAAAAAAAAAAACACCAACTGGCAGTGTAACTCAGCCCTAGGTTCAATCCCTAGTATGGAAAACAAAAAGTAAAATTCAAAAAACCTAAAACAGAAAGTGTTACTGTTGAATGGAGTGTCTATTTCTATATCAAACCCTTAGGGCTCCTCATTGTATTGGACATTCTACCACTACTACATAGAAAACACTTGTTTTCACATGTAAACATATTTTTAACCTGCAATCCATAACAACAAAAATAAAAATCTTAAAAGGTCTCAATAAAAAAACACTCAGTAAATAAAAATTTTAAAAGGAAATAGCAGAAGATAACCTTTAAAAGATGTCAAAGCTGGGAATGATGGTGTGCGCCTGTAATCCTAGCACTTGGGGGCTGAGGGAGGACTGCCATGAGTTCAAGACCAGCCTGGACCACATAGAGAGACCTTGTCTCAAAAAACAAAAAGTCAAAGCAAAACAAAAAGATGTTAGAACTAACTCCATGGGCACGGAAGTGTTAAAATTCCAGTAAGACAGGGCTGGGGATTTAGCTCAGCGGCTTGCAGGCAAGGCAGTCATGAGTTCGATCCCTGGTACCGATAAAAAAAAAAAAAAAAAAAAATTCAGTAAGAAAAAATGGAGTGGTATAACCTGACACCTATAATCTTTCCAACAAAAGGGAAAAATATCGTCAGATGGTTCTAGTTTAAATAGTTATTTTACACCTGAATATATGTCAAGCAGAAACTGAATTTTTTTAACACAACTTGTAACTGCTAATAGGAAGGCCACCTGTTTTTCAACCAACTTGATTTGAATCCGTCTGCTTACAGTGCTGAGCTCCACTGGAACATGTCTGCCCTCCAGGCTCCGGAGCTGCCGCCCCGTGCAGCCCTCTACACAGCCTCTGAGGTTCTGCCCGTCTTCACTCAGCCTGTGCACATCTCCTCCCGGGTTTTAGTTGTCCTATTCCTGCATACTTTCACACTACCCTCTAATTTCCACCCTAAACGTGAGCCTACTGTTGCCAATCTTCGGTATGAGATTTCCAGCTCAACTGGCCCCATGAGATTATTTGTCCTGGGACCAAACTCCTCCTCCCATCAGTCACTCCTCCAAACTCTGCTGGTTTACGGATTGCCCCAGCTGCCAGGCTCAGAACCGCACGGCTGTGTGCTGGGTCCCTCTGCTGCACACCAGCAGGTGAGAGCTGCAGCTCACTCGTTTCCTCCGCCCTCTCCCCTCCTCAGTTAGCCTCACTTCTCAGCCAGGGCTCCTGGCACTCTCCTGTGAGACTACCACCTTCTATATTCTGAGCAGCTGGATCCACCTCCCCAGAGTCCTGCTCTGCTTACATTGTACCCCTGCTAAGAGGTTAGAACCCATCAAAGGGGTCTTTGGATAAATTAATTTGTACGTCAGCATTCCATAAATAAGTCAAGAGATATAAAAAGAAATTATTCTGTAGGTTTATTTTGTTGGTGGAATATTAGTTTCTCCAAACCAAGAGAGGAATTCCCAAGTCCCCAGGGTTGTCCAGGGCTTATGCATTGGCTGGAAATACACTGTCAGCCTGAAGCTGCTTTCTGGGCTGGCTTACTGATGCTCTGAGTATCCCAACATTGAGCTCCACGCTCTCATGCTGGCTTCCCAGACCCTTCATTTACAACAGAGAGTATGTGGCACACACCATGAGTCCTACCCTGTCCATCTGCAGACAGACCAACAGGCAGACAGAGTTACACATGTTACAAAGCTTTAAAGAAAGTTTTAAAACTCAAAACTTGTTTGAAAATGCTTGCCAGATAGTCTTATCGAATGTTCTTTTGTAAGACAGTATTTCTAAAAGCCAGGCGTGGTGGCGCATGCCTGTAATCCCAGCACTCAGGAGGCTGAGGCAGGAGGATTGTTGTGAGTTCAAGACCAGCCTGGGCTACAAAGTGAGTCCAAGGCAGGCCTGAACTGCATGGCGAGACCCTGTCTCAAAAAGACAAAAAAACCCCAACTATTTCTACCCCTCCAAAATCATGATTTGCTACCCCATTTTCTGCATAATTAACTAGTTATATCCTAAAAGAGAAAAAAAAAAAAAAGACTTTCACTGGGCCCTTGCTATCAGACAGGGCACTGCGCTAAGCTCGTTTAAGTCTCACAAAACACAGTGAAGCTACATTCACTTTATAAAGATACTGAAAAATTAAACAAGCTCGTTCAGGTGGCTGTGAAGTAGGAAACGTAGCACCGGCAAGGGAGTCATCACCAAAAACCAGTGTTTCTCACTCAAGTCACGCTCCTTTTCACACAGCTTTGGGAATGACAATAATTCACTTGGCGAAGTGAAGTTTAATAAATTCCTAATTAGTATTTTTTTAAAGCCTGTCAAGTATGGTGTCACATAGCTATAGACCCAGCTACTTGGGAAGCTGAGACAGGAGGATCGTGAATTAGGGCCCATTCTGGGCAACAGTGAGACTCTGTCTCACAAACAAAACCACTCTGGGAGGCTGAGACTGAGGCTGAGGCAGGAGGATTGCAAGTTGGAACCCGGCCTGGGCAATTTAGAGACTTAGCAAGACCAGTCTGAAAGATAAGTAAATACAAAGGGCTAGGGAGGGTCTTGGGGCCAAGGCCCTGAGTTTGTTCCCCAGTACTACCCAAACAAACATAAAAAAACTAAGGAATTAAAATTAAACCAACTAAAACAACAAAATTTCTAAAGTACTCAGTGAAGTATGGAAATATCAAACCAACACACCAATGTTTTATTCTACTAGCTCGTTAACGTAATGAGAAGATTTACATAAAATGTTTATCCACTAGGGTTGTGGCAAAGTCTGTATATCTCACCAAGAGAAAAATACACTATTTCTCGTTTTAAAACAATTTTTCCAAACACTGTTACTTACCCTTCTTCTGTATAAAAATCCGAAGCAGTGGATTGGCTGTTGAAACCGCCTTGTGGTAATTATCGTCATTATTTATAGGCAGTAAGTCTCCATGGATGTCTGCATAGCCCACCAGCACGTCGACGTTGGGTATCTTATGAACATGCTGCAGTAATCCATAAAATTCCTCAAATTTTCCAGGTTTTGATCTTTCCAGTGAAAATCGACGAAACTCGGCTCCAAACTACAAATATTACAAACACGAGTTTATAATGTTTTTAAAAAACTATTCAATCTGAAAATGCAAACCACAGAACACACACACATACACACCCCTAGTATTTCTCTCAATGAAGAAGGCAGCCTATTGTCAGAAACCTCCTCCTCAGGAGGAGCACAAGAAGGTGCCTCCTGGTGGTCAGGTCTCTGCTGGGTGCTCCTGTGAGAGATGCAGGCTCCACTGGTCACTGGGGACTGCAGTGACTCAGCTCAAATCTGGGCAAAGCGTAGACTCTGATTCCCTGAATCAGGGGACAGGGGTACTGCAGACATAGCCAAATCTTTACCTTGACCACCAAAAACAGTGTCTAAGTTCCCTCTCTCACCAAAGGAACTATGATCTCATGGGATGTGCCAAGAATCTAGCACAAAATATACAAGGAAAAAAAAAAAAAGGCTTTGAGATCCCTAGCATGAAAGCATGATACAGGCAGAGGTACATCCTACATAAGAAATAGATATAAACTGGGTATGGCGGTACACACCTGCACTCTGGGAGACTGAGAAAGGAGGATTACAAATTTAAGCCTGGACTAAGCAATTTAGGAAGAACCTAAAAAAGGTGGGGTTTGGGGATGCAGTTCAGCGTAAAGGGTCCAATCCCCAGCACCCTCAACACACACAAACACAGAAGTGGGGAGGGGAGAAAAGAGGAGGTGGACATGGTGGTGCATGCCTGTAATCTCTGCACTTGGGAGGCTGAGAAAGGAGGACCTGATCAAGTCCAACCTGATCTACACAGCAAATTTAAGGCTGGCCTGTCTACACAGCAAGGCTTTTTCTTTAAGAAAAAAAAAAAAAATTAAAGTGACAAGAAACATCTTCCCTGTGTTAACGCACAAAAAATCTTTACTAATGTATCAATGTATGTCCTACAATGATCCAATTAAGCAAGAAGTGTTTATTAGCTTGGCACAGTGCTAGGCCCTGGAGACCGGAAGGCTTGGGCCTCTTTCAGACGCTCACCAATTAGTGGGGAAAGCAGGTAGCAACTTCAGGGAGCCACTGAGGATCACACAGATGTGGAAGAAGATGCCTTCCATCGTGCCATCTTCACGGCTCTGACTCTTGAAGCCTCCTGCCCACACCTCTGCTCTCTCAACCTCAGGTCTCTAACGGCTCTCACAAGCGAGGGCTTTGTCCCATTAAACAGACTCATCACTCACGTTACAGCCTGGGCAGTGCTCCCTCAAACAGGGGCACCTTGGAAAAGCAAATCTGCCTTCCTTAAAGCATCTCAGTCACAGACTGGGGAATCCTATGTAATCTTGACTGCCCACTTAGGAATCACTGTGGAGACCAGTTTAGTAACGGCTCTCAGCTGGAGCAGGGTATGATGGTGCACACCTGTTAATTCCAATGGCCAGAGAGGCTGAGGCAGGAGGACTGCAAGTTTGAGGATAGCTTGGGCTGCAGAATAGCAAAAGCGTCGATCAAAAAATCAAAAATGAAAAAAATAAAATAAAAAATAAGCCAGGCATGGTGGTACACATCTGTGATCCCAGCACTCTGGGAGGCTGAGGCAGGATAATCACAAATTCAATTCCAACCATGGTAACTTGACAAGACCCCATCTTCAAAGAAGGGCTGGGGATATAGGTCAGTGGGAATACCCTGGCCTCAATCTCCAGTACTGCCTAAATAAATATCTAAAATAAAAGTCCAATTAAATGGTTGGGGTATAGCTCAGCAACAGTGTTTACCCAACACTCTAAAGGCTCTAGATTCTATCCCCAGCAAAGAGAGGGATGGGAGCTTTCAGTTAAGTCCTACAACTGATTTTAAAAAAAATTTTTTTAGGTTGAGGGCACAGCATAAGGTAAAGAGTATGTTTAGCACGGCAAGGCCCTGGGTTCACTCTGCAGCACTGCATGCATGTACACATGTGTGTGTACACACACACAGCCAAACATGTCTGACCACCCAATTTGTTTTTCCTCTAAATACCTATTATTGCCAGTAAATACTAATGTAGTCCTGGGGCAGCGGTAAGTATCATGCTGTGAAAGTCCCCATCATAATAACTACAACAGTTTACAAATATGTCAGTTCATTTTCCCAAAGGCCCCGTGAGATACCTGGATTGACTGCTTTGGTTCCCTATGTAAAACATCCACCACTTTAAAATAAAAACTAAGATCACCTCTTATTTCTAAAAAAATTAATTTACAATAGTTTCCAAAACACATTCCTGAAATATAAACACTAAACTTTGTGGAGAAAATAAAGTGACTCATACCTAAAGCTCTTGCAAAGTTTAGTCACACCTTCAAGTTTCAAAGTAAATAAAAAGAGGCTACACCCTTCCTCTATCAGCCTCATGATGTTATCAGAAGTCACAGTTTCTCCTCTATTTTCTTGGTTCTGGTGTCACAACAGAGCCTGGTGCTTTTTAGCGGTGGTTGCTTCTCCCATGAATGAACGGGAGTAACAGCTAACAACTTTTAGGGCTTGGATGTCCTGCTAAAGCTTTGGATGAGTTTTTTTCTACTCCTTGTTATGATATAAACAATAAAAAACTGTATGACTTCACAGGAGATGTGCCCTTCTGCAAATGTTGTAAGGGAGAAGAAAAAGAAAAACAACCCAAGAGAAAGTTATGCTTCTTGCAGCAAAACAATAGGATTAAGAGAACTTTTACTACACAAACAAAAATATGTGCTATAGATCAGTGATGGGAACCTTTCAGAGCCCTCAATGATACAAATGTAGCACGCATGCCACAGGTTCACCACTGCTGATACAGATAAACCTAAGACCCAACCAACAATTATTTACTATGAACTATTTTCAACTTGTTTTTGCCTGGTCTAGTTTGTCCTAACTATCCAAGAATATGTATGGACTGCCTTCCCTGAGGATGTGTTAGTACATTCCAGAAATGCAAGATTAATTTTAATATTCTATGTTTATGAATAATCAAATTTCAAAGACTATTCTAAGGGATTTTTTTCCTTCTAGCTTTTCAAAACAAGGTCTCACTACGCAGCTCAGACTAGCCTCAAACTTGAGGGGATCTTCCTGCCTCGGCCTCCCAAGCGCTGGAATTACAAGTGTGCACCACCACACCAGGTCATTCTAAGGTTTTGATTTATTTACTTTTTGGCAGCATTCAGGATCAAACCCAAGGACTTGCAAATACTAAATAAGCACTCCCCCACTGAATGGTTATCTTTAGCCCCGTTCCAAGGTTATTAAAGGACATCATTATTATTAACTTTCCCAACTCTACTGAAACAATTAGGAAGATAAATTAGTTACCAAAAAGTCACATGGGAGCTCCTATCACAAATGTAACTAGTTACATTTACATTACCCATTATTTTTATTATCTCTACCACTTGTCCCTTCCTTGAGCAAAAATAAAAAAGATACTACTGTTTTCACTTTTTTTGTGTGGGGCAGTTTTAAAAAATGTTTTTGCTGGGTGTGGTGGCACACGCCTGTAATCCCAGGAGGCCAGAGGCTGAGGCAGGAGAAGCACAGCAAGTTCCTCACACTCAAGGCCTGCCTGAGCTGCATCGTGAAACCTTGTCTCAAAAAGACCAAAAAAAAAGGTAGTAGTACATCCTTGCAGTACATATTGATTATATTCACTGAGGGGAACTGGTACATGTACATACCACATCTCATTTCTTTTTTCCCCTCTCCTCTCCATTGCTGCTTTTAGAAAAATTATTTTTGCCAGCATCAGATTTAATTATTTTCAAGTCTTTATCAAGGTAATTTAACACAGATAACAGCCAGGTGAATGCGCCAAAAAATGTACAAAACACGTAAGACAGTCATACTAAATCACACACTATTTTCTATGCAGAAGGAAAACATCCCAAAACGTGAAATCTGCATATTACATAGTTCTGATTATGATCTCTCAAAGGTCAATGTTATAAAAATCTGTGGTATCCCTAAAGTAGCATAAAGAGAAATCTGTTCAAAAAGACCTGTGCTAAGGGTGTAACTCAAAGGTAGATGTTGCCCAACATCTATGAGGCCCTGGGTTTAATACCCAGCACCAAAAAAAGAATAAAACAAAATCTGTACAAATAGCCAGGGGTAGAGGCAGGAACTTGTAATACTAGCATTCCGAGAGGCAGGAAGATTCCAAGTTTAAGCCTAGATGTGGCAACTTAACAAAATTTTTATCTCAAAAAAACTCATCAAACAAACTAAAAAACTCTACCAAGAGCCAGAATGGTGAGACCATATTTCACCTAGTGCATGTCCTCCAACTGCCTATGCTCTACAGAGGTGGTTCACTCGTGGTGTGTATGGCAGGCCAAATAAATACCATGTACTTTAGACGTAAGTATTCAAAAGATTTATAAACCAGCAGACAGAAGAGAAAAGCAAAAAGCTCATTATGCCAGTCCTCAAGCGCTTGAGATTTCCTGCTAGTGATGAATTATTTGAATACATTTATCAGTGCACCTAGAACCTCTACTCATTTTTCCTATGACAAAAAATTAGATACCACCAAGATTAGGAAAATAATTTCCTAATCTCAGGATTATGCAGTATCAAGTGTTTTTCTTTTCTAACAACTCCCCCAAACCCAAACTAGATTTATAACAGCAATTTTATGAGAACTTGGCCACTGCTATATTCCTAGAGAAAAAGCTTTATTTATTTTGAGTCTTCTTAAACCTTTCAGTAGGGGTTGGGAATTTAGCTCAACAGCACAAGCCGCCTGCCTGGCATGTTCGAGGTTGTGAGTTCCATCCCTGTACAAAAAAAAAAAAAAAAAAAAAACCCAAGACCTTTGGTTTAAGCAGGTCATTTCAATTTGCTGTAACACATCCCCCGGAGGACAAAGGAAAGAACCTACTTATACTATACTTACGCTTCCATTCTTAAAAGGATCCACTTCTGAAACTACAGCCTATCCTGGTAAGTCCTTCAATCACAAATGCTTAAAACCGACATTAGAGACAAACACAGATTTTTTTTTTTGTCTTTTTCATTTTTATCGGAACCAGGGATCAAAGTCACGACCGCCTGCTTGCAAGGCAGGTGCTTATGCCGGTGAGCTAAATCCCCAGCCCCAAACACAGATTTTCTTGATGTGATTCTCAGTTTCTTACAGAACTTTGCTTATCAATACCAGACAATGACACCATTCTACCCTTGGCTCCAGGACACTTTCCCCTAGAATCTGTATTCTCCCTAGTCATCTTCCGATCAATGATGCTTCATTATTTTTGAAGCTGATACGTTTGTATGCCTCTCCTTTCATGTATTCTGGCCTTCTCAGTTGTATTTTGAATGTTCTCAGGCCCAACTGGTGATCTCTGATTTGTGTTCAGTGGTGTCCAAAAAGTTAACTGGGCAAAAGGCTTTAGTGAAGAATTATCTTAACGCAGGGCTTAAGAGTCAAAACCTTTCTGGGCCTGTCTTTCATCTCTGACTTCTCAAAGAACCCGACCACATTATCTAAGCTCCTTTGGGCTCTTTAACTCATGAAAAGCTTGCTGAAAATGTTTCCACCGCTGCCTATCACCTTCAAATTCCGGCTGAAAACCCCCCTTTGGAAAGCATTCCCGAACTAATCTCCAGGCTACTCTGCTCACCCAGCCTTGCGATTTAGGAACTGGATGGACACCGGAGTAATTATCAAGCAGACTGGCATGCCGGTGGTCAAGGGCGAAAGCATTTCATATAAAAAGGTAGCAAGGTGAAATGAAAAGAGCATCAACTCCAGCTGTAAAAGGCTCCTCCAACGTAAGGTGATAGTGCCAATTTCATAGATTAAATGCATACCGAAGTTAGAGGTGGCAAAAGCCCTAGCAGGGAGCAAAGCTAACTTTAACAGAGCTGCTCAGTTTACGGGGCTCTCCTTCACCATCCGATGCACCCCTGAACCACAGAAAGCAGAGAAATTATGCGACAACGCGGGGAGGCGGGCGGGCAAGAGCCTTCTATCCAAGCCCAGCAGACAGAACTCCCCCCAACATTCTGCCCCACCTTGCCTTCAAATGCTCCCCATCTTTGAGTGCACTTTGTCCCTCGCTCCCTCCACTGAAAACTACAACAGGGTTTAAGGAATGAAACTAAGTGTTCTCCTGGGTCAGGAGAGTCCCCGCCGTCTCCGTTCAGCAAGCCGACCCCCCCCCCCCGCACCTCCGCAGACCCCGCGCTGAGTCCTCCCAGGCCGCCGCTCCGCCCCGCGCACCTTGCTCTTCACCTCCATGGTGCCCAGGCAGCCGCTGCCCGCGCCGTGCCGGTGGCAGCGGTTCATGCTGCGCGCTGGGCCCGCGGCGGCCTCCCCGGCCAGCCCTCAGGAGCGCGGGCAGCGAGTGCGCGGCCGCTGGCTTCGGAGAGCGGTCGCGGCCCGGGGCGCCTCGTCACGGCACCTGCAGAGGCGGCGTCGGCGCTGAGTTCCGCTGGGCGAGTGCTCACGCGGCGGGACCGAGGGTCGGACTGGCCGCTCGCCGGGCGGGGACACGGCTCCCTCCCTCCGGGCCTGGGGGCGGCGGCGGCAGTGGCGGAGGAGAGGGCGGAGCAGAGGCCACAGACGCCGCAGTCTCGCTCTCTGCCGCCTCCTCCGCGAGCCCGCGCGCGCGTAGCCGAGCCGGGCCAGAGCCGCAGCGCGTGCGCGCGCTCACCTGCAGCCTCTGAGCGGCCTCGGCCGCTCGCGCTCCGCCCACACCCAATAGGAAGCGCGCACCTGCGCCCGCGGCGCCAGCCAATCACTATACGCCTCTTGCGGTGCGTAGGCGGGTTGCCTTCGTGAAACCCCGCCTACCGCCAAGCCATTGGTCCACCTCTAGGAGGGAGGGGCGGGATCACCTGAAGCCCTAGCTCTCCTCTTGGAACCTAGCGAGAAAGCTAGATGGCGCATGCGCTGACCCTGGAGTTTCCGCCCCGAGGTGGCAGTGTTTGGAGGCCGCCGGAAGCGCGAGCGCACCTGCGGCGGGGCTGTGGCGGGAGGGCTTTTTGCGCATGCGCGAGCGCCTCTCTCTGAGTCCAGCTCTTGAAAGTATTAGTGCTGCTAAACGCCCGTCAGTAACATTCTGGGTTCAGGGACCAAGTAGGCAGCCCGCTCGTTTCTCGTGATGCTGCTGGAGCTGCTGGATTCCCGACCAGCTTCCACTTTGGGATGTCCTTTAGCCACCCTTTTGTGTTGTTTAGGAGTCTGACTGCAACTCTTGGTTGTAGAATTCAAGTTTTCCCGCCTCTTCAGCAGTTACAGGGAAGGCCCTCGGTGCTTTCTGGTTTTGATTTTGTCTAGAAACTCCATCCCTCTTCACCCCGCACCCAACCCCAAGTCCCGCAGGTCCCCAGGGTCGGGTCGGCGTCTTGGGGGAGGCGCGATGGCGGCGCGCTGGTGTAGGTCCCTGAGCACTGGTAGAGCGGTCTTTCGGGCTTGCTTTCTCTCTACCGTCTTTACACCTTTGAAGCATTTCCTCCAGCCATTTATGGCGGCTGGCTGTTTCCACAAACGCCAGCTTCAGCATTGTGTTCGTTTCCCGCGAGACTAAGCTGTGTCCGAGGTAACGTAACACCAAATCCCAGTCTCCAAACAACCCCAGGCTCTGGCACGGACCCTGTTTCGCCTGGACCACGGAGAGGCGAGACGATGGGAAATGATGGCTGGAGGAGACAGGCTGTCCAGGTCCCCGGCCCCCAGGGACGGCAGGCTGGGGGCTGGAGGAAGAGGATCCTGACCGGAGATGGGCAAGAAGAGTTGCCCTAGGCGCTTCACTCCTGAGCTCTGAGGATCTGCCTCACCTATCCCACCGCAAACCCCTCCACACACCTTGTACCTCTCCGAGCTCTGACAAGTTCGTTTCCTTATTTTTCTTTGTGTGTGTGAAACTGGGAGTAATCCACTGGAGAGAAAACCCCTTACACGCTGGGCCATTTCTGCTTTGCTCACCCCGCCTATCTCCTGATAGGCTCTCTAATGTGCCTGGTTGCTGCCATGGCGTGTGATTTCTCCAGGCTACCTATGCCCTCTCGGTTTGAAAATGATTTTTTATTAATTTATTTTTTGGTGCCGGAGATCAAACACAGTTTCGCACTTGCCAGGCAGGTGTTTATGCCACTGAGCTAAACTCCCGGCCCCAAGGTTTGAAGATGAGAAGCTCATCTTTCCCCCTGGTGGATTCAGTCCACCAAATGTTTATGGTGATTTTAAAGTATCTCTGGCCATTTTGGGGGTAGAGAGGATATCATCCCGGGCTGAATAATAAACTGCCTTCCTCAGCCTTGTTACAAAGCACCTGGGTAACTCAAGCTCAGCTGGAAAATTGCTGTGGAGTTGTCACGGGTAGCCAAAGGCCTGAAACTCTTTACTGCTGGAATTAGTTATGGATGTTCTCAACTTTTATACTATTATGAATTATGGAAGACCTTGAAGTTTTTTTTGTCCTATTAATATTAGAATTAAAACAAATGTGTTTGAAACACAAATACACAAGCATGCATGCCAATAGTCATCCAAGTAATGATGTCAGCACAGGTCATGTCTCTTCTGAAAAACTCCATTGTATACTTGTGAAACTAGGTGACAAGAAATGACATCTTAGTATTGTGAGAAGAGTTTGGCCTTGTAAATTCCCTGAGACTTCATGGTCCCTGGTCCACACTGTCATGACTGCTGTACTAGAAAACATAGAAGGAGCTTCAGGGACTCCCCCAGTCTCAGCTTTCACCCGTCTCTGGAGTTGGCCAGCCCACACCCTGGAAACAAGGGCCCAGCTCTGTGAGTGTTGGGTGATTGAGCTTTATTGCTGTTATCAGAGCTGATTTATCAGGACTTTTAAGCAGGAAGTTCGGAGATGCCAACACACCTGCGTGGCCCCTGCATTCCTAGAGGTGTCGTCACATCCTCCTTGGCCTGCCCAGGGTGTGGCACCCCTGTTCTTGGGTTTTCCTTTCTAGAGAGGGCCAGGCTAGAGCTCCCTGTATCTCCTCAGTTGAATTTGCGCATGTGCTTGGGTTGTATGAGGAAGGAATGTGGGGAAATCATTTGAATTGACAAAGCTGTTGTGGAGGAGGGAGCCCTTTCATTCCGGGAGATGTTAGAACCAGCTGTAAATCTGTATACTGGGCCTCAATTTCACCCTCGCTCGGGACGCACAAAGGCCCAGAGAAACAGCCTAGAGAGGATCTGTATTCCTCTGCCTCTGGTTTGAAGCCTGACTCTAATCTCATTTCTGCCACCCTCCCTCCCCTCCCCCAAATCCTCAAGCTAAAGCTGCCCAAGCCCTACATGTGGATGAAAAGCTAGTCCCATGCCTGGGAGAATTAAGACTCAGTGGGCTAGAAAAATTAGGTGAAAATCTGACAAGGCTCCATAAATTAGAGGTACCCTAAATCATTAGTCCGGAGTGGGGGAAGGCAGAGAACCACACCCATGCACTGCCTGGCCTCTCTGGCCACGTCCGCCCCCGCAGAGCAGTTAGTGAAGGGTATGTTCCTGCTTTATCTGCTGCCTAACCCTTTCGGTTCTACAAACACCCTGTTATGCTTCTTTGAAATCTATCTTGTGAGTTGGAGTTTGTAATTTTCCATAATTAATTTTTTAAATCTGCATTTTGTATAATAATACATCTTTCTTTCTTTCTTCCTCCAAGTCCCGAGGGAGAAGTGACCCGAAGTCATAGAATGTGGGAAAAGTTTATTTTCAAGGAATTTCTCTTGCCAGCTCTTTTTCTCCTTGATTGCTCAAGTTCCAGTTTTGATGGGGCTGGTTAATAATTCTTTGAAAAAGAGCCGAAGAGTCTATTTATGAATCTTGGGCTACTCACTGAAGCATTTTAAGCCCTTTAGCAGAGGTGGAATTAAGTCACATGATCTGTTTTTCGGTTAATAGCTTATAATACTTCACTCGTTTGTATGTGGGGCTGGGGTGGTGGGTTCACAGGGAAACAAACGGATTATTTCCTGTGGTCTTTAAGAAGCTAAGTCCCTTTTTAGGTAAAAACCCATCCTCATGGCAGGGCAGCATGGGCCAGGCGCTGTACCTGTGGCTTGGTCAGGCCCGTACTTTGCTTTTTGACCTTTTTTCCTCTCTGGGACTTGATTTCTCCATCTGTACGAGCCGGCGGTGGATGAGATCATCTCCATGGCCCCTTCCAGCTCTAACAATATATAGCTCCCCAGGGATAATAGAGACTGAAAGTTATTTCAGCATTACCAAGGAAAGAGAATCTTTCCATCAGAGTCCACAGACAGGCTGCGGTCATTGGCCAAAACACTGGAGTTCCCAGGAGGTATTGATGAAGATGATGATCGTTAACATTTATACGAGATCTGCCAGGTGCCAGGAACTGTGTGCTAAGTGCTTTCCCATGAACTAAGTAATTTTAAATTGCTGGAAGCTTTTATATCTGGAGGCACTGAATCTTCTTTGTTATTTTTGGAAACTTTTCAGTTTTGGGCATGGTACTGGGGGTCTTGTGCATGCTAGGCGAAAGCACTCTGCCATAGAACTGTACTCCTATCCCTTTTTATTTGTATTTATATCTGATTTTGAGACACATTCTCACTAAATTGCTCAGGCTAACCTCCATCATCCTACCTCCACCCCTCTAAGAGCTGGATTCACAATTATGTATCACTGCTGCCAGAGCTGGCTCGGCTTTTAGGCCAGTAGATATTCCTGTAAGGTCTTGCTCTGCTTCTTGGTGGTTAGGTGACTTTGACCCTGTTCGCTTAACCAGAGTGAAGTCAGAGCCTTCAGAGTTCTCCTGTCCTCCTCCGGGAGAGATAGCTGACAGTACCTGCCTGATCGGATTTGGGGGGCCTCATAAGAGAAGCTATGGAACTGCTTTGCAAACATCGAGGAGGGGCTTGCAAATATCAGTGATTACTATTTAGCTAATTGGGTGCCTCCCAAAGCCTTTGAAAGACATCCCTTGCAACAAAATGAAAATGTATAAAAAATATTTCTTTTTGTTTTCACGCAATGCAACTATTTAATGGCCCTCTCTCCCAGAGGCTGAAAGGCAGTCCAAAGAGGTTGTCAAGGGCAAGACTGAGGCTAGAAGACGATGTTCATGTCCTGTCTCTGCCATTTCCTAGCCATGTGACCTTGGTCAAGTCACTAACATCTATGAACTTAATCTGTAAAATGAAGATAATAAGAGAACCGATCATCTTAACTCATGTGCCAAGGGCTTGGGGCTGAGCACAGTGAGGACTCCATAAAATCACCTCATTATTTTTATTACCTCCTGGCGAAATAGAATTCATTAGTGTGCTAAGTATTTATTAAGCCTTGAGTTATGCCTGGCATGGAGGGAAAAGAGGAAAATAATAGTAAAGAGTGGAGCCATGACTCCTGGCGTCAGGCCCTTCACAGGCCACAGATCCACTGGGTCAGCCCACATTCCGTGATCGATTTCCAAGGAGCAGACCACCACACGCTAAGAGCAGGACAGAGTTCTGCCCCCAAGGAACCGCAGTCCGGTAAGTCACAGCTGGAAGTAGACTACCAGCTGTGCCCTGGACTGGTGGGTGGCACAGTGTCTAGGGGGTGGCATGCTAGCTGACCATCAGTCACATCTGTTTCTACCACCAACCAGCTGTGGAACCCTTGACACATTTTAATCTCCCCTCAGGGATGAGATGAAGATGGTAATATCTACCTTCTGTGATTTAGTCATATGTGCCAAGTGCCTATTATGTGCCAGGTAGTTAAGCAAACAATAGTTTAAAAAAAAATCAGAAGGACGAAAATCCCTCCCCTCTTACAGCTGACATTCTGGGGTGCAGAGACATGACACAGCTATATTAATTAAAATATATGTTGTTGGAGTGGTAAGAACCTTGGAGAAAATACAGCAGAGAAGGGGGATGGAAAGCCTGGGGGCTAAGGAATGAAACGAGAAAGAAACTTTAAAAATATTCTGCCATGTGGCAGGAAGCTGGGCTTGGTAGTGTAGACCTGTAGTCCGGGTTATTTGGGAGGCTGAGGCAGGAGGATTGCTTGAGCCCAGGAGTTCCAAGCTAGCCTGGGCAACATAATGAAGCAGTGTCTCTAAATAAATAGTAAGAATGAAACAGGAGGGTGGTGGAATGGCCTGAGAAGTGGGAGGAGAGCGAGCCTGCATGTGATCCCCAGCTTGGGGGAGGGGAGTCTTGGGGGCTCAGCACGGTTGTGAGAGGGAAGGAGATAAAGCCCGCGCTCGGTGCCTGGCACACGCGAGGGATCTCGGGGAAGACACCAGCTGCTATTTTAAGCCCTTGCCCCCAGCTCAGGCCTGGGTGAGAGAGAGCAGAGTGGGCGCAGGGCAGAGGAGATGACTAAGAGCCGGGGAGGGGGCCTGGAGAGTTTCCCGGGAAGTGACGGCTGGATGGGGCAGGAATGAGTGGGCGTCGCCGAGGTCGGGGCGGGGGCATTCCAGGCCCGGAGCTGCAGCCTGCAGCTGTGGGGGCGGGGAGGGGACGGGCTGCTGGCGGCTCTGGGCCGCGGGGGGCCGGGGGACCCCACTCGGGTAGAGCGAGGTGGGGAGCAGATCCTCCAGGGCAGAGGCTGGGGTGCCAGTGTGTGCCCTGGGACTTGGAGAATGTTTCAAAGCGGGGGGCGGAAAGAATCAGATTTGTGCTTTAATAAAATGTGCGGAGGGGGCAGGCGCTCCGGGCAGCAAGTTAATGAGTCTTGCAAGGCACGGCGTGATTAAAGGGCAGGGAGTGGGGTGGCCGGGAGGGCTGAGGGGGCAGGGAGGCCGCCCTTGGTTGGTCTGGGCCTTCATCTCGTCCCTGTGTAACCACCCAGGTCCAGCTGGGTGGGGGGCGAAGGCCCGGTGCTGGGCTACGCTGGGACCCAGGTGATGCCCAAGGGATTTCGATTTTAGGGGTGGAAGGAGAAAGCGGGGAAGGGGCTTAGTGGGGGCTGCAGAGGACCAGCCCAGCAAAGGAGTCACCACCTCCCAGGTGGCTGTGCGGGCGGCAGCTTCCCAGGCTGCGCTCAGTATCTTGCGAGAGACACTGGACTCGTTGGTGTGCAACTTAAACTTCTGGTTTTTAAAAGTTAGCAATGGATCAGATGAGGTGCAGTGACGGAATGAGTGGCGCCTGCGCGCCCACGGATGTTCCACTCGGGACAGACTGTGGGAAAAACTGAGGAACGCCTATGAGGCCTGCATCTCCCAGGAATGCCAGCAACTCAGGAGGCTGAGGCAGGAGCATCAAAAGTTCCAGCTCAGTTTAGGCAACTTAGTGATCCTGCCTGAGACCTAGTCTCAAAATAAAAAAGAGCTTGGAATGTTGCCTAGTGTGAAGCCCTGGGTTCTATGCCTAGTACCACAAAAATAAAATACTAAAAAATAAGCTAAGGGTGGTGGTTCACACCTGTAATCCCAGCACTTGGGAGGCTGAGGCAGGAGGATCACTTAGAGTTAATTTAAAATTAGTCTGGACTACATAGCGAGACCTTGTTTTTTTTAAAAAAAGAGAACTTGTCTCAAATTAAACAACAGAAGACATGGCTCAGTGCAAAGGCCTGGGATTCAATCTTCAGTATCAGAAAAAAAAATAACATTAAAGCATAGCTGGCAGAAATGAAGATGAGAGAAACCACCCAGGAGAGAGATGGTGAGCCTGGGAAGTAGCTCGGCAGAGGATGAGCAGATGGGAAGAGAAGAACCCGAAGGGTTGTTGGGAAGCCTTGGAGGACAACACTGGGATGGTGGGGAGGCACCATTTGACAGAGCTCACTGAGCAAGCTCGCAAGCCTCTTCCAGATATTATGTCTTTGGCCAGGGTCCCCCCAAGGCCACCCCGGGTCTGGTGTGGGGCCTGGGACCTGTAATTATCATGTGCATCCTGGTGGTCCTTGCCCTGGACTGAGTCTGGAGCAGGCGGAGGATGCAGGTCCTCAGGGCTCGATGCAGGCTCTGGCCCGGAGCAGGGTGGGTGTTTGGAGACAGAGTTGAGGTGAGCCCGTTTGCAGACAGGACTGTCCTGGAAGGGCCCACAGACCACTGTGAAGGGCTGGGCTTGGCTTGTGGTCTGCTCTGCCAGGGCTGCTGTAACAAAATACAGAGGCCCCTCGACTCACGAGGGAGGTCCCATCCTCGTAAATCTATTGGAAGTTGGAAATACCGCAAGTGGAAAATGTATTTAATACATCTAGCCGGCTGCACATCCTCACAAACTTAGCAACACAAACGCTCTAGGGTGTCAGCTGTCCCCCCTCATGGCTTGGGGCTCACTGAGGAAGATGAAACTCTAAGGCCCAAGGATGATGTACCAAGAGATGTGTGCCCGGTGGTGGCTCTGAGACACGGGCTGTTCCACGCCTCTCTCTGAGGCTGCAGGTAGTTGCCAGAGATCAATCCTTGGCTCGCAGCTGAGTCACCCCTGCCTCGTCCTCTGTCATCATGTGATGTGTTCCCACTGTGTGTGTATCTGTCTCTGTATCTGTTTGTATAAGTATGTGGATTTAGGGCTCACCCGAATGACCTCATCTTAATGTCATATCTGTAAAACCCCTATTTCCATAAAAGGTCACAGCCATAAAAGGTGCTGGGGGTTAAGCCCGCCACATACTCTTCTTGGGAGTAGGATTCAACCTATGATGGGGACAGACTGGTAGAGTAGCGATACTAATCATAGCAGCCAGGTACAGTGCCTGACACCTGTCATCCGAGCTACCTTGGAAACTGAGGCAGGAGGATTGCAAATTCAAGGCCAGCCCAGGCAACTTTAACGCTGTCTCAAAACTCAAATGAAACTAAACCAAAACAAACTTTACCATGAAACAACCACCACCACAGCAAAAACTGAGGCTGTAGCTCAGGGATAGAGCACTTGCCTAGCATGCTTGAGGCCCCGAGTTTAGTCCTTAACACTGAAAAAAGAACAAAGAATCCTAGCAGCTGCCAACCCTGCATGTCACAGCATTCCATGCTCACAGCTACTTGGCCTGCGAGCACTGTGTTTCTGTTCTTCACAAGAGCAGGCCAAGCTGGAAGAGGAGGAGCACCTGGCTCCAGGCCATGGAGCTTGTCATCAGGGCAGGATGTTGGCCAGAAAGCAGAGCTGGGACAAGGGAGGGAGAGGAGGCAGCTAGTGCTAGCTTGGAGCACAGGCTCCGGGGCCATACTTGGCTTCCAGTCCTGGGCCGGTGCTAGAAGCAGGCCCACCCCTCGGAACTCCCGCTTCCGCAGCTGTGATATGTGGTACCTCTCCCTCGGCTTTTGTGTGGATCCAATGAGATGTTTGTAAAGGGTTTGTTGTGGGGCCTCCTGCTTCGCAGGTCCTCAAAAAGCTGCCCTGCGTGTGTTAGTGTAGCACAGTAGTGGGGCATTTGCCTAACATGTGTGGGGCCTGAATTCCCCACAAACACACAAACAGCCAGGTATAGTGGCAGGTGCCTGTCTGTAATCCCAGCTACTCCCGAGGCTGGGGCAGGATTATTGCAAGTTCAAGGGCAAAGTGGGCAACTTGGTGAGACCCTGTCTCAAAATAATTAAGTAAAGTAAAGTGAATTGAACTAAACTAAACCAAACTAAACTAAAGCCAGGCGTGATGGCACCCATCTCTAATCCCAGCACTCGGGAGGCTGAGGCAGGAGGATCATCAAGATGTCAAGGCCAGTTTAGGCTACTTAGTGAGTTCAAAGCTAGCCTGCACTGCATAGCAAGACCTTGACATAAAATAAAATAAAATAAAATAAAATAAAGGGGTTGGCTATGTAGCTTAGTGATCCAGTGCTTGCCTAGCAAATGAGGCCCTGGGTCCAACCCTCAGTGTTGGGGAAAAGAGAGACAGGGAGAGACAGATGATTCATTAGATAAACAAGAAACCTCCTTAGATATCAACCCAGGGGAAGTGGGGCTCCTTTCACTGTTTCCTCCTTTTTCCTCTGTCATTTGCATTTTAACCTTTGCATTACATGTTATCTGCAAGTTGAGGAAGATGAAAGAGCCACAGGGCTTGTTCAACAGCTCCTTGCCAGGGACCCAATAAAAATTCTCTTCATGTTTATCTCAGGACTGGTCAGAAACTTTTTTTTTTTAGAGACAAGGTCTCTAGGTAGCTCAAACTGACCTGGAACTTGGCATCCTCCTGCCTCAGCCTCCCAAGTGCTGAGATTATAGGTGTGTATCACCATGGGGACTGTGACTCAGAAACATTTATTGGGGAGTTTTGGAGGAGGAGGTGTGGTGTCCATCTCAAGGGTCAGGCAGGAATAAAAGGCCCATTGTGGGCCCTACGCAGTGGGCAGTGGGGAAAGAAGGAGGGGCATAGCAACAAGTGCAAGGGATGGAGGAGGCTGGGGTGGCCACGGCGGCAACAGCTAAAGCTGGGACAGTGTCAGACACGCAGGTGCCCATCCAGAAGGCGGCACACATTGGCTCCTTTCCGAGGAAGCAGGTCTGCTCTTACAGTCGCCTTCCCTAGTTGTACCCTTCAGTCCCCACAGACCCTGTTTCATCTTCCCCAAATTCTGTGGGCAGAGGTTCTGCTCACGTTCTCAGTATACAGATCTGGAAGTGCAGGCACAGAGAGGGTAAGTGACTCAACTAGCCTGCCGTGGGTGAGCAGCAGAGCTGCCTCCAGTCCTGGGTAGGAGACCTCACCTGTCCACGTTGCCCTCTGTAATTCTTGGTTTAAAATTATCTCTTCCTTTGCCAGGTATGGTGGTATACACCTGTAACCCTGGCACTCAGGAGGCCGAGGCAGGAGGATCACAAATTTAAGGTCAGTCTGGAATACATAGTGACAAAAAATCATTTATTTCTTCATGCATTTTGGTGGGGAGGGGAGTAACGGGGATTGAACCCAGGGCCTTTGCACTGAGCTGCATTCCCAGCCCATTTTTATTTTTTATAAAAGAGTCTTATAGAGTTACTATCATGGTTGGTTGCTTGTGTCAACGTGAGAAGTTTAGAAGTTTAACCTATTGGTTCAGCAATTTTACAGCCTAGGGTGTAGAGGATCTGCCCTAGGGCAGCTCATCGCAATGACAATGTGGAGGGGAAAGGCAAAAGGATGGACTTGCTTCTGTCCTTTGGAGGAGCTCTAGTCTTTGCCTTCAGTTTGGATGTCATCTCCTGGCTTCCAGTGCAGATTCTTTGGCTTTCACCTGGATCCTTCAGCATTCTGGAATAGATTCTTCAGTCTTTCCTTGCAGACCCATTGGCCTCCTGATACGGACTTGCAGTGAACTCCAGATCGTGGACTAAAACCTTCAGCCTCCAGGGTGCAGATGCCCTCTGCACATCTCCTCATTCAGCTCTGTAACTGACCATCATAAGCCAAGAGTTTGCATAGTTTCTTACACATTTGTATATTTTGGGTTATATCTGTTTCTTTAGTAGAACCCTGACACAGTCACTATGTTGCCTAGGCTGGGGTTCAATTTAGAATCCTTCTGCCTCAGCCTCCCAGAGTGATAGGATTATATTTGTTCACCTCCGTACCTGGCTGAAATACATCATTTTTGTTGAGAGCCAAAAGCATCCCTGTGTCTTGCCCCTGCCCCAGACAATCCTACAGGTAAGAAGCCAGCTGAGAATCAGGTTGCAAGGCTCCTTGCCTTGCAGGAGGCATCTAGAAATGCGACACCCTCCAGGGCATTCACCCCCCAGCCCCCGGATCTGATCCAAATTCCTCCTGGGAGTTTTCATGGAGGAGAGAGATGGTTAAGCATGGAGAAGAGTTTCCAAAATGAAAATAAACCAACAAACAACCCCAGCTTGCTCGTGGGGATCCAGTGACTTAGTCTTACTGAGTTCCACCTTAAGGAGGAGAAAACAAAATCATTTATAGAAATCTTCTGTTTCCTCAGGAGACATTTAAGAAGTGAACATATTTTTTAAAAATCCCAAGGAGTGCCAAGTTTATGTAAAATTATACCAGTGGTGACAGAGGCTCGGGCACAACAACGAAGCCAGCCAGAGGATACTTGTGTTTTGACGGTCTTGGGACTCAAGCTCAAGCCCAGAAACCAAGAGCCTGAAGGCAGCTTGATGGGGTGGCTGCTGGGAGTCTCGTGCTGGGAGTGGCACTGCGTCTGAGCTGGACAGCGTGGACAGGCACCTCACCTCTCTGGCTCATGTTTCTCAGATGGGACACAGACGGGCCACACCAGAGGGCTGAGACTGTCACCATGGTGGGGTTGCAGCTGGATGCTGAGCCTAGCATGTGCGGGGCTATGGGTCCCAGCTTGTAAATATCTCACCCGAGGCTGTTCTGGCCCATGGCAAGTGCTGACTAAATGAATGGTCTCTGGGAGTGACCAGTCTGTGCGTCTCCATTTTGGTCTGATTCGCAAGAGCTCAAACTAGTGTTTATCCAGGCTGGCTCTCCACACCCATTCTGTCATAGAATCCTTACACTGCCCCAGGCAATTTTTTTTAAAGACAGGTTCTCACTATGTAGCCCAGGATGGGCTCAAACTCACTGCGATCCTCCTGCCTCAGCCTCCTGAATGCTGAAATTACAGGTTTGTGCCACCACTCCAAGCTGGTTTTGGTTTTTGAAATGGAGTCTTGCTATGTAACCCAGGCTGGTTCTGAATTTAGTATGTAACCCAGGTTGGTACTGAATTCATGATCCTCTTGCTGCCTTGGGCTCCTCAGTGCTGAGATTATAGGTGTGTGCCACCCTGCCAGGCTATCCTAGGTCTGCTATTATTATTCCATTTATAGATGTGGAGCCTGAGATTTAAGAGGCTGAGATGTGGCTGGGGGGACACAGGTTAGCGTGTGATCTTGATCCCCAGGGCAGGTGGATGAGGAAGACAGTTCGCCCTAAAGATCCATGCAGAGAAATAGGGGAAGGCTTGGCCTAGGACCCAGATCTATCCTGACTCTCTACTGAACAACTTTGCAGGGTAGAGTATATTTATTTTTTTAATCAGATGGCATTTTTCTAATTCCAGATCTGTTTGTTTCTGGAAAGTGGCGTGGAAATTTCCAAAAAGCAGCGAGGTGTGGCTGACTGGCTTCCTGGTTGGGGAGGATTTTTCTTCATTTGGAGGCAAACACTTCAGGTGGAGGAGGAGGGAGTGTCCCACCCAGCCGGGCCTTCCCAGCAAGCGGGAGGGCCTCTGAATCCTGCTCACCCCCAGATCTTGTCACCCCAAGTGAAGGGTGTCCAGAATCTTCCACTTAGAACACCAGAACTTAACATAGGGCTTCGCTTGTGGCCCGTGTTCCCGCTGACGCTCAGACGGGCAGGGAGAATAGTTATCTTGGTCCATTAAAATCACCTGTGTGTTGGGAGCCGTGGCACTGTCAAGTCATCAGACGCGGTGATTGCGAGGCCTGTGGGAAAGTACAAAAGCCTGGGCTAGATTACCCCTCTCATCGAGCCCGCCTGTGTGGCACCTGTTTCTTATCACCCCACTAAGTTCCCGCCTCACAGGGTAGTCTGCCTAGCTATTAATCCTATATATAGCCAGTGCCTCCACCCCCGAGAGAGAGAGAGAGAGAGAAGCACGAAAGGAGCCGCGGGGAGCGGACCAGAGGAGGCTTCGGAGCGAAGCACAAAAGGAGCCGCGGGGAGCGGACCGGTAGAGGCTTCGGGGCAGGCTGTACGCGGAGAAGGAAAATAAAAGAAAAGGTTGTCCACCGCCAGACTTTGTCGTGTGTCCTTCCTGCCGGCCGGGAGCTCGGACACCGACATTTGGTGGCCCGCCCGGGGATTGATCAACCCCGAGACGCGGTGGTGGACTGCATTCTCCTACACAGTGCTGCAGCTGCAGGACAGGTGAGTAGAGGATAAGCCTGGGCCCTGGGTGGCGCGCACCTACAGGGTTTGTAGACTCCTCTCAACCTCACGCGTAAGTGGCGGGTTTCTTGGGCCTCACGCGGTGAGTATGAAACATAACACCAGAACTTAAGGTAATAAAAGAGTGTAAAACATAAACATAGAAGTAAAAATAACAGAAGATATATTAAAAATGGGAAACATGCCAAGTAAAGATACACAGCCTTGGTGTTGGTCCTTCGGAGACTCCTAAAGTCCAAGGACCTCAAGGTGGGGCGTAAGACTTTAGAAAATTTCCTTGCAGAGATTGACAGCTTTGCTCCCTGGTTTCTGCCTACAGGGCATGTAAACCTGCCCTCCTGGGAAAAGTTGGGCAGAGACCTTTCCCTAGCAGAGCGGGAGGGTAGAGCTTCAGTCTCTGCTCGTCCGTTGTGGGAAATGATACACACGTGCCTAAAGAGTGAGGGTAGTTACGGGGGGAGCTCTCAAGAACTTGTAGAAGTACGCGAGGTGTTTGAACAGGCACAGTCAGGAAGCTCCCGAGAAGGGTCCGTCAAGGAGGGCAGAGATACAAAAGAGGAAGCCGAGGCGCGGTTTGTGTCTTTCCGCAGGAATCGGGACGAGAGCCAATGTGGGTCCCAGAGAGGTTGACGCGACAAGTCCCTCGACTGAAGATCAGGCCTGTTCCACCAGAGGCCAACCGCAGACCCAACAACAAGATGAGCCCTAAAAGAACTGCAGGACAATCCCTTTTTGGGGGCCTGGAACGGCTTGCTCCCCTATGTGCTACCCTTGTATACGCATGGCTCGCTCGCATGGCCTACGACCGCGTTTAAAAGTGACAGGCTTCCCACATTCTCCTCCCTAGACAACAACATGTAGCAGGGTGGATGAGTCAATGACGGGTAAGAGCGTGCCTCCCCAGCACGACTCAACCTAAGCCAGGCCCTACCCCGTTCCGCTCGAAAGCCGCTGGATTGTTAGATAAATTTCTCTCCGAGGGGATTCGTGGAGAGAAATGAGTGCATGCCTATGTGCAACCAGGTTCCGTCCGGTTCATTCCTGGCCCTAGAAAAAAGGACGAGGGCCTCAGGGCCTTGGTGGACCCTGGGACGGCCGACCAGGGTCTACGCTAAGGGCCTACGGTGGGCCTCAGTTCAGGGCATAGGCCTCTGCACTCTATCCAGGACGGGCTGCGATGCGCGTATTCATTTAAAATAAAATAGGGGGAGATGTTGGGAGCCGTGGCACTGTCAAGTCATCAGACGCGGTGATTGCGAGGCCTGTGGGAAAGTACAAAAGCCTGGGCTAGATTACCCCTCTCATCGAGCCCGCCTGTGTGGCACCTGTTTCTTATCACCCCACTAAGTTCCCGCCTCACAGGGTAGTCTGCCTAGCTATTAATCCTATATATAGCCAGTGCCTCCACCCCCGAGAGAGAGAGAGAGAGAGAAGCACGAAAGGAGCCGCGGGGAGCGGACCAGAGGAGGCTTCGGAGCGAAGCACAAAAGGAGCCGCGGGGAGCGGACCGGTAGAGGCTTCGGGGCAGGCTGTACGCGGAGAAGGAAAATAAAAGAAAAGGTTGTCCACCGCCAGACTTTGTCGTGTGTCCTTCCTGCCGGCCGGGAGCTCGGACACCGACACCTGTGTCTTTTTTTTTTTTAACAAGAGGAAAAAAATAATAAAACTGAGTTTCAAAACAGGTTAGTAGGAGAGTTACAAGAATTAATACATTACATATTGTTGTTTTTGTACTAGTTACTAGAGTACACGATGGTATCTTGTCTGAACAGTATTAGCACAAAACTTTTTTCAATGAACTAAGAGGAATTAGTTGTATAACTATCCTAACTACCTTGTGTATAAATATGTTTTTTTCTTTTTCCCTTCCTTCCTTTCCCCTTCCCCCACTGCAGTTTTTCTTTCCTTTTGAACAGTTTCTTCCCAGTTCACAAAATCTACTGTACATTTTAGAGCTCCTTTTCTTGTTTGGTTTCTTACACTAGTGAGACAATACATGTTTCCACATAAGGGTCTGATTTATTTCACTTATGAATATGGTCTCGAGTTGCAACCATTTACCTATGAAAGTCTCTACTTTATCCTTCTTTATAGCAAGTAGTACTCTGTTGTTTAAAAAAAAAAAAAAAAAGCCCCCACAGCCGGGTATGGTGGCCAACACGTGGTAATGCCAACACTCAGGAGGCTGAGGCTGAGTTTGAGACCAGTCTGGGCTACAAAGTGAGCTCAAGCCCAGCCTGAACTGCATAGCGAGACCCTGTCTCAAAAAGACAGGAAAAAAACCCCCACATCTTCTTCACTTGATCTTAGCCAAAAGGCCGAGAAGCGATCCACCCCACCACATCTTTATCCATTCTTCAGTTGATGGGCATTTGGGTTGTTTCCACGATCTGTGCCACTATAAGCATGAGTGTGCAAGTATTGCTGTGGTACGATTCTGGGAAGATATCCAGAAGGGTCACCTGAGTCACAGCAGCAGCAGCAAAGAGTTCTTTGTGTTTAGGTACAGCCCTTGCTGGTGAGCTGTCCTTATTGGTCAGTTCCATTATTTTGGGGGAAAGTTTCCTCAGTTATATCATTAAAATCAAGGGCATGAAGCTGGGGGTGCACAGCTGTGATCCCAGTCCCTTAAAGGCTGAAGCAGGAGGCTCCTGAGTTCAAGGACAGCCTGGGCTACATAGTGAGATCCGATCTCTGAACCAAAACACACCAGAAGTTCGCAATGAGTGTAAGCTGGACTGCAAATGTGTACTAATAAAGTTCAAAATTCAAAACAAACATGCACACACACACACACACACATACACACACACACACACACACACACACTCAGTGATGAGGGAGGAAGACTGCAAGTTTGAGCCCAGCTGGATGACTTATCTAGACCCTATTTCAAAATTTAAAAATCTTTTAACAGGCCCGGGGTCAATCCTCAGTACTGCAAAGAAATGAATGACTTCAATATATCCAATCAGGAGTGTGGGGGTTCAGCGATGTCATGGAAGCTGGTCATCGACATCAAGTCCTGAACGCTCAGCCTTTGAGTGACTGCTTGAGAAGTCCAGACCCTGTGCATTTCTCTCCCTGTGGCTCACTTTTGCTTGTTAACCCAGACATTTATTCAGGGGCTTATTGGAGAACTCAACCCTCTCCAGCTTTCCAAAGCTGCTCACGGATGCAGCACTAAAAGACCACTTTTAAAAACTTACAGTTTTCCATTCCAGACTGGTATGTAGATTATAGTAAAAAGTTCCTACTAGGAACATGAAACTAAAAAAAAAAAAACTTCAAAGACATACAAAATACAGAGCCCATTTTATTTTTCATTTTTGGTGTTAGGGACAGAACCCAGGACCTCAGGAAGGCCGGGTACCCGCTCTACTGGTGAGCCGCTGCCCGAGCCCCAAATGGAAGCTTTTTACTCTGAGTTTCACCAGATCTTGAGATTGCAGGTTTTGAGCAGCCTTGTGCTTCAGGACAGTTTTGCTGCAGTGTATAAATGACCTCAGGTCTTGGTAGGAGATCCCAAAGACAGGAATACAAATAGTTTTGTGGGAACACATAGGTTCGATCATATATATAGTAGAAAGAGCGTTAAAAATTAGAGTCTGGGGGTCTCAGTTTTCCTCACCTGCACCACTTTAGATTGCTGGCTGTAGGTAAAGCACAGAGCACTAGACACAACTGAATCTGAGGGAAATTATGCAAATGTCTCATCCTCAATTTTTTTGGTGGGGCAGGGTCTGGCTATATTGCCCAAGATGTGTTCTGTTTTGTTTTGTTTTGTTGATTTTTTGAAACAGAGTCTCACTGTGTACCTCAGACTGGCCCTGAACTCACTATGTAACCAAGGCTGGCCTCACACTTGCAGTGATCCTCCTGCCTCAGCTTCATGAGTGCTGGGATTACAGACGTGCACCACTGCACTGGAGTCAGACCGTGATCCCAGGTAGGTACCACCATAGTCAGCTTCATTATCAAGTAGTTTAAGATTCTGGGGCATGATGGTCAGCACTCTGTACTCAAACTACTTGAATGAGATCCATGTGGACTTACTTTATGTACCATTTTATAGATGCAAATAATTTTAACTATATAAATAAAGATTTGTAGGGAGAAAGATTTCTACTATATACTTCCTTAGTTTTTATTATGCACATACAAATATAGCACTGGGCTCATACCATGCATAATTTGTTTGACAAATCTGTCTTAGTGCACTCCACAGTGTATCAGGATGATATTTCCTCTTTTCCACTTACGAACCTTCCTCATTCTTTTTCCTGGCTGCCTAGCTTTCCAAGGTACAGGTGTGTCATAATGTACTCACCCAGTCTCATGACACTAGATATTGAGGTCATTATGACTCAGTGTTGCAGTGAACATCATGTGTGTGTGTCCTGTGCACTTACGTGAGAAACTTCAAGAAAAATCAGTTGATAGGCACATTTTAAATTCTGTGTGTTCTACCATCAAAGCTGGCTTGATAACATCAATCATTATCAGAGTTTTTTCTCTTTTTTTGGTGGTCCTGGGGCTTGAACCCAGGGACTCTGCACTGAGCTGCATTCCCAGTCCCTTTTCCATTTATTTCTACACAGAATCTCATAAGTCATTACGTTGCCACCTCCACCTTCCGGCTCCCAGAACACTGGGATTAGAGGCCTGGGCCACCACGTCCAGCTCAGCATCAGATGTTGAATTTACAAATTTGCTATTGAACAATTCTGCTCCCTGCATGGGCCAAGAGGCTGAAAGGGGAGAGAATTTAATCAAGGTCACAGGGTGAGAAGGCAGAGCCAGGAACACAGCCTCCTTTCTCTGTCCAGCGAGATTCCAGTGCTGTTCAGTGCTGTTTCTTTGCCTCCCCACCCCCACCCCGCCTGGTTCTGGGATGGAGCCCAGGGCCTCCCACACGCCAGGCAAGAGCTTTACAACCCGGCCACACCCCTGGCACTTTAAAACAATTGTGTGTGTGAGTGTGTGTGTGTGTGTGTGTGTGTGTGTGTGTGTGTGTGTGTGTTTATACCAACCTCTTAACATCCGTGCGTGGTTTTCTTGACCCAGAAGGTACCTTGCACAGAGTCAGGGGGAGGCGTGGAATAATCACAGTCCTGTCAAACACAAGCCTTTTAGATTGTGTCCTAAACCTGGTCCCATCACCTGGTCATCTCCAGGGCCAGCGAGGCACCCTGAGTGACGCCTCAGTTTTTGCGGCAGCTGATTTGGGCTCCTGTCTCAGACTCACTTTGACTTGGTCACTTGGGACCTCTCCGTGCCCAGATGTTTCATTTTGGGGACAGTGACTTTGCCACAGAACAATTGTGAGGATGAAATGAGAATCATGTGTGCAGAAACTCTCGCCCCAGTCTTGTCCAGTGGATTGAAGAGGAAGGGGAGTAGCAGTGGGGTGTCCAGCAGGGACCCTGTCTGAGCCATCAGTGGGGGTCAGTGGCCTCGGGCAGAAGCTCCAACGTTGCTGACCCCTTTATTCATTTATATTAGGGTGCTGGGGCTGGAACCTGGGGCCTTGTGCATGCTAGGCACACGCACTACCACTGAGCTGTGCCCCAAAACCTAATTTACCCTTGAATTTACACTTAACTGAGGGCAGAGTTTTTGCTCATCACTGTTGCCGGTTAGTCTTTCAAGTGAACTCTAAGAGATAAAGTTCCGGCTCATTCAGAGGTTATTTAAGGACAAGAAGTGGCCATGAACCAAGATTCCATGGACGCTCCCTCCACCGAGGTCCCTCCTGCAGTCGCCTCCCAAGAATCATTACGTGTCTTTTACTTCTTTATGTCCACTTAATCCTTTGAGGCTAATGGCACTGCTTTGGGTCCGGTCCTGTAACTTTATTTTGAACCTTCTGGCTGCCTCGTGCCTTGTATCCACATAGCTGCCTGCTTCAAAACATCTTCAGGTGGGTGCTTCCTTGTGGTCAGGCAGTGGCACCCGCAGGTCAGACCTTCGAATTTCCTCCCATAAGTCACAGTCACAGCTGGGAGTGGTACTATGTGCCTCTAATCCCTGCACTCTGAGAGACTGAGGCAGAAGGATCTCAAATTGGAGCTCAGCCTGGGCAATTTAGTGATTTCACAAGACTCAGTCTCAAAATAAAACATAAAGAAGAGTAGGGATGTAGGTCAGTGGGAAGGCTGCATGTTCAGTCTCTAGCACTATAAGTGAATGAATGAATGGTGGGTGAATGAATGAATCCCAGGAGGCCCTGCTCTGGGTGCTGTAGCCAGAACAACCAGGTAATAGGTCTTCACCACCTCCGACACTTGGAGCTCCCTCAAGCCCGCCCCAGCCCGTCTGCCTTTGGTTCCTGGATAATGCTTCACAGGTATGATGTCATCCGTTCGTTAGGCAGCACTCCCGCCCCAGGAAATAGAGATAATTATTATGGTTTATTTATGGATGAGGAAACCAAGAGCCAATGGGGTGTAGCTCAGGACCACATGGCCAGGAAGTGGTGATGATGGGCTTGGAAGTCCTGTGGGTCTTAAATGTGTTTCCCGAACGGTGGTCCTAGCGTCCCTCCAGGTGGGTTACAAGTGGCTACAGCTTGTGTCTCGGTTTCCCTTCTAGAAAGAGCAATACAGATGTTGCTTCTGGGTTTCCCTTTAGAAAGTTGCACTGCAGGGGCTCCACTGGCCCGGGTACCACGAGGCTCGGCTGTG